TAATCTATCCGTTAAGGCATTTAAAATGAGGCCCTAGAATAAAACGATTGGCAAGGCCTATATATACATATGTTCATATAAATATCCATTGAATGCTCAATAACTATTTGTAATATTGTAACCAGGTCTACGATTGTTTCGATGCCACTACAGTTAATGATACTGTCGCCACTGAAGCTAAAATGGAGGCTTTTTGATTACATGCAACCCCTCATCGCTGCATAGTTTTATTCCCTTCAAAGCCTTGAACCATACACAGACCTTTACAGCCAACAGCAATTTTTCCCTCTGACAGAAATTCTTGCCCCTGTTCGTTGCCTCTCAAACGAAGCAGATTCGAATATGCCAGTACAGAAGGGGGCGAGGGGGGCGGAGTAACTATAATGACATTATGCACCACGTTTATTGGAGACAGACAAGGCGTCAGACGGGAAGGATACGGACTAATGCTTAAGACATCCCTTCAACCGATCAGCCTTTTTCGTGTCGACATCTTGCGATCGATATGCTACCCTTCGTAGTCGTTTGTATCTAGCTTTCGGGGCTTCCCTTGGGGCCGTTTACCGTAAGCGACTGCCAGCGGACCGCTCGGATCTGTACAAGTATGTGCGATACGATTGCTTGGATAACAGAGGCAGGAGTACGATCGGATAAATTATAGACGGCCTCCCTTAGGCTAGAGGAGATGAAAGAAAGAGGATACTATGTGGAATAAAAAAACACGTGATATTGCGTAATGCCACTGAACGAATCTCAGGTATGTAGATGTGCTCACACTTCAGCGGCGTCCTTGTATCCGGGACCAATTGCGTACGAGATGTTGAGACGACCCTGCCATTCGATTGGTGCAGCTGGACCACCCATTCCTCTGCAAGGGAGACGAAAGCGAGGAAGAAACCTCGGGCAAAATATCGATACTACTACGACGAAAATAAAAATTGATCCAATCTCATCCTGATTTAATAAAGATCTGTTTGAAATTTTATTGCCCAGCTGCACTGTTAAAATTCACTCGGGGAGGGCACTGGAAGCTTTGAGCTTTACCACCACTAAAGTAGAAATACAATTCACGCAGCAGTTCACGCAGAGCTTAGAGAAGAAAAATAAATGAGCCTGATTCCTTTTGCTAACAAAAGAGTTAGGTTTAGCATGTCAGCCAAGTAGGCTTACTAACTTGCTTGTCATTGATTCTGACAAAGAATAGAGAGGACTAACTTGAGAAGATTTTGAGCGTCGAGTGCGCTGATTGGCTGCACTGGCAGACCAGGCAATTTCAGGTCAGCTCTTGGAAGACGAAACATGTCATCGGTAGCTGGCAAGAAAGGGGTTACGGGATCTCCTGGAAAGCTTTTCAAACAATCGCGCTCAATAGCGTCCAGTGGTATAGATCTCTTGACGTCTTCTTCAATAATGCCTTCCACCGGTTCCCAATCGAACGGGTCACGGTATAAAAGTACACCTGTTTTAAAAGAAAATAAAAAAAACACGCTAGAACATAAAGAAAATTCTTCAAAGTGTAAATGGCTTGAAGCTAATAGTGTCTCATTTTTAGGATTATATTTAGTATTTGTGAGAACCGACGCAAGAAGGACATTTCATCCATATTACATAAATGTGTGCCGCTAAAATTAACTTCATATTGTTCTTAATTAAGCTCGATTTAAACGTTATAAGTTCAGGTTGAGGGATACCAGACGTTAACGGTAATGGCCTTACTAACTATGCGAGCTGCGCACGCTTATAACTTCTTTTAACTGGAATTACGTTTTACTGGTAGAACCAATTGGCCTTCGAAAGGATGACTACAACCACAATATGAAGAACTTGGGAATGTTATGCTTTACGCTATGCACACATGACTACCTAATATGATGTATAAATGCATTGGGCGCAGATAGGTGCTTTATAGCTAGCATGGTACTAGTATACCAATGTAGAAGCGTGTTTGTATGTTAAGCACGAATTTACCGTATTGTGAACTTTAAGAGTCTTCAGCGTTCCGAAATATCGTTGCACGTCGTTCAACGTGTTTTCCAGCTTTTTGTTGTTAAACATATTATAACTGTTCTATTTGTACTGCTTACCCTGTATGCCGTTCTCTTCAGCACGCCGAATCTTAGCGTCAAGAGCTTGTCCTCTGCCGTATCTCATAATAGCGATTGTTCCATTAAGTGTAACTCCACGAGTTTTCAATACTTCAAAATCTTCTGCGAGGCCGAAATTGACGTAGACCGGTTTGCCTCGGACTTTTCCAGGTGATGAATACGCCAGGTACGGATGTGTTTCTATAAAAAGTACGTCAAATAATAAATAACATAGAAACTTGTCATTATATTCATGGATGCGTTGTCAATTTTGATAGCTGCACACGATGGCCAGTGCTCGCATTGAAACTGCTTGTTGCAACATTAAGGAGGTAAATGTATTGTGTTCTGAAATCTGGGACTAGATATATCATACAAATGTATGGTCTCTTGTCACTGAATGACCTTGCACCATTGTCTGATCGTCAGCATTTTTACGTATATTCTCAATTTTAGACTCTTGAACGTGTTCGCTTTCCGAAAATTCAGCTTGGCTCACAACCGTTTTTTCTCGTTTCGACACAATCGAAAGAATAACATGATGGAGTAGAAATAGGGGGGTGAAGCTTTATAGGTGCCTAAAAATTAATTTTTCTATAGGGTGATGGCACCTCTTAGGTTTCGTCGCTCTTTGGCGGTCTTAGCGGCGTCAATGATCATCACAGCTAGAACGGAAACTCCGCTTGCAACAGACAGGGACACGGATGTGTTTCACCTATTTATTCCACATCCTTACAACCATATAGTGAAGAACGAGAAGCGCTTGTTCCTTTTCATGCCATGAAAAGTTCACTCTTGGGCTTTTTCTTGCGTGGGCTAAGCGTCATTGCAGCAGGAGATGAGATAGCTGCTCAGTACCGAAGAGCTGGTTGACTGGGAAAGGCACAGAATGCACACCGCAGGCAAACCAATGACAGACTAACATGACGAGCGATGGCGCCGCTGTCGCACAAGGCCCCCCTTTGTCATTTGCCGCCGTTTGTTCTTTTATAGTTCCTCTCAGCAGCGTCCCACTCAACTCCCACGTCCCATTAGATGCACAGTCATTTTCAATATCCACCCACTCGAACATATTTTGTACACCGTAGAACTGCTGCGAGCCGTACGGCCACCGCGTGTGACGGCCACCGCGTATGACGACCACCCGCAGCGTGTCTGAGCATTTGCCCAATCTATCCTCGTCTAGCTTCGGCAAGTAAGAACAGGTCGACTTCTTTGCTCTATTCACGCCACAGACGGATATATGGAACAGGCAAAAAGGCAAAATGAATGAGAGAAAAGCGCTACACTTGCAGAACCATTGGCCAAGCAAAGCCATGAGTATTCTAACGGACATAAAGGCTTGTTGGTCTTATTTCTCTACAAAAAAAAATATATGAACTACGTATAGTCCAGTATGTGCGATCAGATATCTTCGTGCCGGCCGCACCTAGCGTAAACCTACGCGGCCAGCATATGACTCGCCTTCAGCAAATAGCCCTTTTTGGTACTGAGCCAGCCTCGCCCCTAACAATGCTATCAACATCAATATCGTCATCGTATCTGTACAGTTTCCTTTATAGAAGTGCATTTAAGGCTGAGACATAGGACGTTTTCTTTGTCCTAGTCTGCTATCACTAATGCGAGTCGCCCTTTCTTTATCCCGCTAGCTCACTTTGCTACTCACTGTCCGTCCAACGACGGTCCGATCCGCTTACGTAGATGCCACTTAGCGATTCGTCCGTCACCCAGCCTTTGAGGAACCCACAGCAAAGTAACATTCGCAATACCAAAGCGCTCGAGGTCCTATGCATCTCCACGTAAGGCCATGTGAGCGTGAGTTCGAATCGTATGAAAGTGTGTCTTAGTTTGCATATGTTGAAAGCGTGGATCAAGTCCGGGGGATGACAATAATGGAAAACCAGTAGGGAGAAAGCTTCGGAGCCGCTATTACTTTTCGGTGCAGGAGAACGTTGGTCGGTTGGCACCGACACCGGCGACGATAGCAAGAATTGCGACAATCGGCAGTGGTAGCATGTACTAGTGGGCGGCTTACCGGCAGCTGGAAGCCAGGCGGTATCTGATGGCGCCAAGCAACTGTGCTGGTACAGCCGTACCGCTGTCGTCTCAGACCATAGTTGCCAGCTGTAGCTGTACATCTTTTTTTTTTGCTTTGGGTGCGTTAGTAAAGCCGTTTCTGCCGCGGATGGTCTCAATGGTATTCGCGACAGAGGAAGGAATAGTGAAAACGGCCCGACTGACATAAACGACAGCCATAGGCTCGGCTGGACTGCTACAAACGCCAAAATAGCCACTAGACCGACGCGTGTGATGCAACGTAGCATAGAACATTAGATCAGTGCCCTAGAAAGACCGAAATTCACTTACGGACACATAGAGTATATCCCGGCTCAAACACTCTGTAGTAGGCCCAGTTTGGGGAGTCCCAAGCAGCGGATCCACGCGCAGCGTTTGTCGGGCAATCTATATTGTAGAGGATTGCTTTCCTTGTGCACATCATGGATACGGGAGAATTATTCGTAATTTAGGTTTTGTAGTTGAGCGGGTTCGTCGAGTGGTCTGAAAGGGGAAGAAAGAAAAGCTGAGCAGAAAAGCCATAACCGTAAGTAAGAGACGAGGGCGGCTTATTTGAACAAACGGCTATTGACTGTTATATGACTGCTGGCAACGAGCGCAGCTTGGAAGGCTGTCATATTGCTCTGCGTTGCTGACCGCGAAGCTTTGTCGTTCAATATCTTTTATCAAATAGAATGCGAAACATCTCGCACATGTTCATACACCGTCACATGTTCTTACGTCTGCTAGTACTCGTATATTACGCACAGAACATTGCACATTAACATGGAGAAACGACGGACACATAAGATACATATACTCGGTGAGTAGCAACAGCTAAATGAAATTTGTGCTAACTCCTTTCGCCTCTCCCTACCTGATCCTTCACCGTCTTTTTCTGTCGCCAAACTGACACCAACTAAAATCCAACAGCCCAAGCCAAATTGTGCGGAAAGCGCGCTGTTGCTACGTTATCACCAGTGCTGCTAGTCTTGTCAAGGCGAATAGAACCGGGGGCCTGAGAAGGACGTGGTCCAAGTGGAGGACCTAGGGATACCATGTCGAATACATTTCCATGCGCAAGACCCCCACATAGAAACTAAATATAGGTGGAACAACCTACATTTTTGCCGATTTTACATGGGACGCGAATAAATAACACGATGCACCGTTTTCACAGCTCTGCCATTCGTTGTTGTGACGAGCCAACGTTAGCAAGCAGAATAACCTCTATGTAGTTCTCGTTTTCACCGAGCGCTGGCTAAGAATTGAATAATGAAGTTAAAAATATGTTTAACTAGTTTACCAATTGTAAATGGTAACCGATTATAGTGAAATAGTTTAGCAGTAAATAATACCGTACACTTCTCGCACTCCATGACGTTTCGGCTTATCTAGGGGCAAGTGAACGTTGTTACGAAGACGCACAGTTTTACAAACCCGAACTGGGTTCAAATGCTACAAGAAGAAGCTTATCAAGCGTAATGAGCATAATACGTTCCCCGTACCAACTGCGGTTGTAGCTGTCAGCCTATGAAGCTTGGTTTTTATTGTTTCCCGAAGTCTCTTAACCTTTATTGTTCTCTGTTTAAAAACTTGTTAAATGAGAAGGAAAAATTAAAAATAAGGTTCTTCTTAAATCACAAAACTCGCTAACGTTATTTAGTAACCTGCACATTAATAATTAACGCACGGTATTTACTACGATGCTGTAATGACGATACTTGGCCATTTTAAACTGGGGCTTGGCCACATAAAAGGCACCGAGCCGGCCTTCAGAAGGTGTCTCCGCTCTCTTTCTACATTTAACACACAGCTTGCATAATGAATCGTGGGCTTGAGTTCTGCAAATTAGTCGGGAGAGTTCTTCTATAGCTTTGAAAGGCCTCCTAACAGTAAACGCTGCTACTGCCGTAACTGTAACGGCTACTGACCCAGCTGACTCTCCAGGGGGCTGGCTAGTGAGTGGAACTGAAATAGCACTCGGGAGCCTCTGGTGATTCGGACTTCATTGGCGCGCTCCATGTCGGGATAGGACAGCAGTGGCCGAAAGGTTTCCACCCGGGCTCGCACGCCCCAACTCGACCACGCGGCGCGGATCTTCCCTGCAAGCTGCGTACCCTTTTCTGATCCCGCTACGTGAAAGTCCTGTGTCATAGTCCTGCAATACCCCACATAAAACCGAAAAAAAAGAGTGAAATCCACAATGTGTAGGATGCGTTTTTGCATATACGTCAACTATACGGATAGTACGTGTCCTAGCAAGCTATGTATGCTACATATGCGAATGTTTAATGTCGTTGTTATAGAGTTTGTGCGTTAGCCAAAAGCCGTAAAACTAAAATGCTTAAGAAACGTTTCGCTCAGATATGTTTAGAGTTTATCTTTGGTCAGCTAGTCATTCCTTATATTTATTTATATATATATATATATCCACGAAGTTTTGCCCACGTGGGCAGGTCGCGGCATGAGTATTAATCTTGAAAGCAGTAGTAAAGGGCATTGCAGACACTTAGAGGTATTCAGACAGAAGCTTATTTATCGTAAACCAATAATACGTTTTGAAGCACGATAGCCAATTAAACTCTGCGTGCAATCGTCTGACTAAATAAAAGAGTGAGATATACAAAAATACGACCAACGTTTATATATGTATTTCTCTTGGTCCTCAGTGCACAAATCCCACAACTCAAACTATTTGTACCCCAGTTTACGGTAATAGCAACATGTTAGAAATGTAAAACTATTTTTTGTCATAAAATCATTTTCATTACTGAAGAATAGCTACTTTTAGCAATATTTGGTTAAATATCGATGATTGTTCTTAGCTTATAATGAGCTATTCCTTTATAGTTTGTTGAACGCTCCATTTTTTTATTTAGTGCTAGTGCAGCAAAAAAAGATTCTTAAAAAATCAAAACAATTACATATATATACACTTGGATTCGTATACTTGTCGAACGCGCTAAAAACAAAGCCCGTTACTGAGATTATTTTCGAGGAACGAAAATGGTAGCGACATTGAGGGAAACACAACAAACAATAACTCATAAATATATATATATATTCAAAATAGTGATAGACTGCAAAAGATCACATTGTACCGTTTTGACCGAACAGTGCACACTTCTAGGTGTCTCTCTTGCGAGTGCAAAAATCGCTCGCTCGTGATCGTTCTCGCAATTGCTCTGAAGGCATCCATAGCACAGCACGACCAGGGCAAGCGAAGAACGATAATTACAATTTGGTAGTCCATAACCCTTTTGGTTACCGTCGGAGGCATTGCGAAGATCACCGGCCAAGCGGACTGAAAACCTCTTAGTGGAGCCGATGGTACTCGTGAGTGCCAGTCCGCGAGGCCTGCGAAGAATTGCACCGCTTGTTCTCTTTGTTGTTTCCATTTCCTATTTTATTACCTTTCTATTCTACGTGCTAATTCGTTCTTATTCTCGCCTGTATCTGCTGAAACCTCTAAGTTGCTATTCAATGTTCGAAAAGGCACCCCTTACCTTGTACCTTTGTACCCCCAGCGATTCTCTAGTCCACCGCTCTTCCTTCCGATACTTTCTGTGTATTTAGTCCACCTAGTGCTATCTGCACCAGCTGGAAATTCGCAATCTCTTTCGAGTTCACTGATGATCTCAAATGGCTCGCCCTTTGTCTGGGTCGGCTTCAGGCTGTGATGTTTGCCTTGTATTTTTTTCTTTGCGCCTCACACCATAAAAAGTGCTGATGGACAGCCCGCCGCCACCTGCTGCTGTCGAAGCTGCCATAGGTAGGACTGCTCTGCTATACAAAAGCGTGCTGAGATCGCCTCGCTCACGCCCTCACTGTCTTTTTGAGGGAAGGCGTCTTAGAGAAGTCGAAACACGTCGCTGAAGTAGAAAGGCTGCGCCTTTAGAAGAAAAATAATGTCTTCTACTACCTTCAATAGGTAGAGCAACAGCAACGGCACTGGCTGCAACCGCAATTAGCGCTTGGTATGGCAGCCTATTGAAAACGGCCTAACTTTTCGTATTGAACTGAGGGTTCTTAGGTAAGCCGCTCGAGTATACAGCACCTTACAGGTGAAGAAAGCAGAGAGTGAGTGCAAGCATCGGAAGGGGGTGCATCAAAAGCTGCTTCATTAAGTGACCGAACGGAGTAAGTGGGCTGGATTCACACGCACGAAAATACCACAGGAACAGCTACAGATAACCTCAGCGTCTAGGTACATACGCTGGCTAAAGTGTAACGCGAAGGGAAACCTCACACAGCTTACATGTACCTGCATACACTTGGTGGCTTGAACGGCTGACGATCCACTGCTGGAACAATGATTTCTGGATGGCCGATTCTATAGTTTTAGGGAAAACGAGATCGGACTTAGGTGTTTAGTAGTAGGGAGCAAGGGAAGTGGGCAAGGCGCTCAGTATAGCGAATATTCTCATAAAGGTTAAAGTTACTTCCAACGGGCAGGAATGCATTTTAGCTTAACGGATATTGGATATTAGTCTGTCAGGCTAGTAGTCCTGCAGCCTGCATGATCGATGGCAGGACAAAACATAGGACTTGCCGGCCATACGAAGTATATAATACCTCTCTGTGCAAAGTTCTATGAAAAGAGCGCGCGTGCAGTAGCGTTGCATGTTGTGCTGCTATGAGTCAACGAACAAATTGGCGCGAATAGCATAATGAATAGCAGTAGTCGCGGCAGAACAGCAAGATGACAGGCAAACGTGTCCATGGGTCGCAGCCTGGGTATATCTGTCTAAATCTGCACCTGTATCCGCGTGCAACCTGACTGATTTCGTTTGCTTTCTTGCACGATGAAGCTAACGAGGCTGACCGAAGAGTCAGCTTTCTTTTAAATATCTCTGCTTGTCTCGATAGCCTGGTATGATCGCCGTCATACCTTATTAATAACCTTAACACCTTATTGTGCACTACATTTATACAGGGTGATTACCTAGAAATTCGCCTGGTATATTTAGTCAACGTTCAAGCCGTCACGGAAATGTACCACATTTTATTTAGCAGAACGTCGAATGAAATCTAATGTTAGGTAACGTGCGAACTAACCATAGCCAGCCTTCTAGTTGATCTTGACTGATTGATTGGACGAGTTTGTCCACGAGACGAGTCCGCCGCTCCTTGTGGTCGTTTGCATACCAAGAAGGCCATACGCCAAGAGGGCTACATGGGCCCGATGGGGATCTTAACGAAAACGCCTCAGAGGGACCTAATCGCTGCTGAGATCCTCTGCGAGCCCCGCCGTAACCAAGGACTAACCCTACGCTGAATACGCAGGCCACAGCTAGAACCTGTAAACAGTACGGAGAAGTGCAGCACAGAAGATAGGCCATAAAGAAAATCGTTCCGCTTACTTTATACATGCATGGCAATTCACAAAAGATCTGTTTGACTAACAAGTACAATATGAGAGTCAAGTTAAATAGAAGACAGCTTGTTACGACCTGTTTTTGAACGATGATCACAGCTCTGTGTGAATTGGGAGCGGTAACCATTACAGATTGTTGTAGTAGATTTGATGCTCATTTAGGTCGGCCATACGTACATACATACATATATACGCGGCAGCGAGATTGACTTCTGTTAGTCGACCCATGGTCGTAACGAAGTGGGCAGCATGGAGAGACGTCTAATTATTTAGCATAGAATTGTTTCAAGTATGTCGCTTTGGCCGTATCATTTTTTCGGCAGGACAATCTTGCACATAGGAAATCGCACGAATGGCTACAATTTGAGATAAGTGACACTTGCAGAAATACAGAGAGTCAACCCCTTACTAGCTGAACCTTATGCGTTATCTATGATACCGAAGTGGCGTATATGTTGCATTATAAAACAGGCCGACGATTTGAGCTTCAACAATGGCAGTAGCCCATCTCATTGTACCCACCGAGTTCGAAGGTCATCAACAATGTTTCTAGTCCTCTGCTTTAGTTGATCATATAATGCTATGTTTTTTTTTTTATCGTGTGACGTTACGCTAAGCAATTGACATTGAGATTAATACTCCTCCGCCATCGCCGCACTCATCTAAACTCCCGTTATATAGCGATCATTTTCGTAGTGTATCGTGGAGCGCTCCCTATACGCTCCACTGCCCTTGAATGCTAAGGACAACCTAAACTGATATTCCACTGCATCATTACTATACGTGACTAGGTACACGAGCCAATAGAAACAAATTGCACACCTAATTGAACTATAATAGAAAGTAAGGGCTTAGTCACTGAGTGCCCACATGTCTACATGGTACTGCACGTTTTTCGATTTTTATCATCGAAATTACTGATCTATACAGATCTATAAGCGTTTGCTGAACTTTTACAGGTACACGGTTATTTGTCTTGCTAAAAACCCACATCTGTACATCACGTATTGTTTCCATTTATGAGACCCCAATTAAGTTCCTATTGAGAAACTACAAGGCTAATTTGGATTCTCGAAGTTTGTACGCAACGAACCTACAGCCATTTTGCCATAGCCTCATACAACCAAACGTGGACCGCGGATCTATCTTTAAACATATCAGATTAAGTGGATTCGACAAGTAGCACACTGCGCAGTTTCAGCTCTAACGAATTTCCGAAGTACAAATTTAGATTAGAAAAAAACGTGAGGGCTCCCTGCTCCTTCAAAGGTGTTCACCATGCTATTGCAAATCATCGTTGAAACACTGTAACCTATCCAGCACGGTATAAGCCAAAGGTGTTGAAAATAATTGTAGGCACCTAAAGAAACAATTCTCAAGAAGTATATCCGAGAGCGGAATTAAATTTTTGGCTGATAGCAAACCAAACTAGAAGGGTGCAAAACGGCCAAAATGAATTTTTCATGTTTATAGATCGGACAAAAGAGAAAACGCATATTCCTTGTTACAAACAGCCCGACAAGGTTTGTCGCAATTTAGGCACCATGATTATATTGAGGCCATATCATATTTAAAGTGGGTAGCTAAAGAGAGTAGAAAGGGTATATATATATATATTAAAACAGTAAAGCGGACGCGGTAATTCATTCTGTATTGTGTGGTCGACGTCATAGCTCCATCACTTTGGATTGGCAGATATATTAGTTAAGAATACTACAAGGATAACGGCATGGATGGGCGAAGTTACTTTTCCTATTATATACACATTTAGAGGAGCTGTCGTTAGGCCATAGAAAACTGCTGCTCGATAGGCCAGGGGACTGAGTTCCTCAGTATTCCAGTTTCTCACGCGAGGCCGTCGCGAAAATGTGCCTAATAATATACCTTCTTATATGTAATCCTCAATGAAGCCTAACACAAAATGCAAAACACAAGAAGGAACTCTATACGTTCACTCAAGTCGACACGAGCATGCGATTTGAGGACAGAAAAATGAGAACACTTAGTATTAATCAACAGCTCGACTGTCAGCGTCTAAATGAAAAGACAGTCTCTCGTGGGAGACGGTCGAACGTGGTCGACTTCGTACACACCACAAATACATGAAAAAAACGTACAGTGGATTCCTGAAGAGCTAAGTCGACACAGATGTAAACAGAATACATCTGTGCCTTTTTATAACAGTATAATAATAACTATAAGAGACCCCCCTGGAGCGCGCTGTCGCCATAATGTTCTGTGACTGTAATCAGAGGAAGCAATATAACGCTTAAGTCATCAAGCACGGCCTAGTAGAAACAGAACTGAACGATGATACCATTTTCCAGATTCCTTAGATTTATCTCCGTTTGACTTTGATTTGATACTTCCACGCGTTGAGGAGTGCGATAGGTTGCGTAGCGAATCCTACCGTCCACTCTCTCTCGCGCAATCCATCGACAACGAAAGCAAGAATACAAATGTTGACTGGCTTTTCGAGCACTGGCCTCAAGATGTAAACGATTAAAGGGAATACGTTCGACACATACGTAAAGATAGCTATTCTACCTTCCCTAGCTGAAAAGTTTCGACCTTTTGAAGATTATTTAACTGAATATTAGAGTTCATTGTTTGTCTGAAACGTGTATAAACGCTGGGGTACCTACGCAAAGCCAGGTCATTTATCCTACTACACAGCAGCAATAGATCTATACACACATTAATAGGGTATACTATACTACGATATATTAGGGCCTAATTTCTATAAACAACACTTCAGCTCAGATACACACATAAATCTTTGGCACAAGTACTTCGCAAGCAATTATGAGCACATGTATAATTTGAAAAGCAATTATCGTAACGATTGCGCTCTAAAGGCAACTAACTAACGGTGTCCTACGCATACGGTACCTATCTAACCGTATTTAGCTTTTTCTAACCTGGGCCTGATTATTTAGCCACCACTATGAAGCGCTCCTTAAGCTCTCGATCCCATCTTTTATATCAGTGACATTCGAAGCTTAAATTTTTACTCATCAGTGTGTCAGCCGGAGATGCCACCGCATTCATTCGACAATACTGCGGTCGCGTTTCTGTGCCCTCTTAGTCTGATATCGCGTGCGGGTCAGTATTTTCCACCGTGTAACAACCGCATCTATCTGTACGGGAAAAAACGCGGACCAGCGCTTATGTGATCCTTTGTAATTCGGCCAAGCCCATTTTTACCAATAAATATATTTCGAAGAACCACACAGAGCATGTCGTCGTTATTGCCGCCCACCTGTTTATCTGCGTTGTATGTCGGCGTTATAGTTTAATTCGCTGTTTCTCAATACTAATACTAGGTGACGTTGAAACACGTAGGCGTTACGCGCGTACCGGGAGTGGACATGGTAAGTCACTAATTTACCCTTCGAGCGACTTATATAGAAACTGCAGCTAATTATATACTTGATAATTTCAAGTCCTCTTCTTCTTGAAGCCAAAACAACGCAAGTGAGAAATAATATTTACTGGATAGCTAGTCAAGTGGAATAATTGGCCGTGGCTGGGGAACAAATGAACCGTTAAGAAAAAATGGACCATGTTATTCCATCGCCCGTTCAACTTTTGAAGTCGACCTTGTGCCTAGACTCGGCCGTCTGGATCATTGCTCTCTTATCTCACTGTTTCCATTGACCTCGCTGTCATTCTTCTCTGTTTAGGCTCAATCAATAGCAGAGTTTTATGTCGCAGGAAAGTGCTCTTCCGTCGTAAAAACGTGAGCAGTTAACACAACATTGTCTAATTAACTAGCCGTCGTCGGTATAATACGGTGCTATTTTTTTGGCTGCTATATTTTAACGCAGACCTAGGCATACGTACGCACGCACGCACGCACGCATGCATGCACGCTTTTATATTTATGATAGTCGCATATTGAAAATTAATAACATGTGTCTCAGCTGGCAGTACAAACCCTGAATATGTGGAACGGCAAAATTTAATAAGCCCATATTAATATGTACTCCCCCAAAAAGCTAGATTCAGGCCCGTTTAGAAGGCCGACAACAGAGTTAGGCGCTAAGCTATTATGCAGCTAAACTAAGTGTTAAATCCAGTTGTTGAACGAATTGTGAGATTTTTTCTAAACGCGAACTGGAATCCCGTACTAATAGGTAAGATGCTCCGTTAATGTGGGATGTATGTGCCGGTTAAAAGTTAGTGGTAACTATGACGGGCTGCAATCCATGGAATCGATGCAGATTCACTTAGTTGAGTCCTATTCTCTCAAAAGCTAAGAATCAGGTTAAGAACTTGTACAATTCAACTCAGAATAAGTTTGGAAAATTTACAGGTGAAACGCTTTATAACTCACAAAAGCCCATTTTATGAATCTAACTATTTAAAATTATTTCATATCCACAAGATGTTTAAAATTCTCTGCAATATACTTTTCCTAATATAACTTTTAAAAGCAAACACGCGGGTTGGCCTTTACCGAGTCTAAATGACCCATTTAGCTTTGTTATTGTGGACTTTATCGGAGATGATATAAAGCCTTAACAAGGGTTAACTCTTTCGAAGAGGAAAAAATGTAAACATACATATTTATAGTTAACGTCTTTAGTAAATGTTGTAGTTCTGCTAGAATCTATTAGGGCTCGTTTTCTGTCAAAATGGATAGATGTGACATTGCATGTTGAGAAGGTTTGAGACCTAGACTTGGCCTGTCATTGCCAACGTGTGAATGTCATTGAAGCTGAGTGTCGCAGAGTCCAACAATGGAGCCATGGCGGGCATCGTGAGAGCGCTGTTCCCCAACCAGTAACAGCGTACCTGAACATGAGCGCCCAGTAGGAGCAACGGGTAACAATGCTGCGTTCACGGTAGCTTTAGCCTTAACGTCGGCGCGTTTTTCATTGTTGCGTCTTTTGCCAGTACAATTTGCAATGCAGAACTCGTTCTTGGCTACTAGTCGTTCAAAGGCAGCAGTAACAGGCATCTGGCCATACATTCGCCGTAATGGAGTTAAGAATCTGAAACTTGCGCTATGCGACTGCCTTGGAAACTACCGAAGACGTCCTTTAGTGTGCACTTCCTGCTTTTCCGGCCGATGCTCCTTGACTCCAGGAGTCGTTTTAAACTACCAACCAGTGTTACCACTACTATCTTTACCATAACCAATCTCTACAGTGTCAAGGCTTCTAGGAACCCTTGGGCTCCGTTCATGACAGACAGAGCACTCAGCTCTCCCGAGATTGCTACGCCTTGTAAAAGGAACATCGTTCCAATTGTAATCTATGACTTTCGAGCATCAATCTGGTCGCATAGCGAAGACTGCGGAGCTGAATAAATACGTTGGGCTAAACTCTTCGATTTGTATAGCAGTTGGCATCATTGTACACCTGACAGCTTTCTGAAAGCGCAGTAGTAGGTTCGATAAATACAATAAATGTTTATACAACGGTGTTTTTGTGCTTGTGATCCGTTTGCGTCGTGTCGATTGACACGCAGGCTTTAAGCTCTAGGCTGTCCTCGGCAGTCGAAATGAAACTTCCTCACCCCACATTGAGTTGCGCTGTTTGTGCTCTGTCTTGCTGGAAAACTTCGCCGATCACAGCGACTCGAAGTGCTGAAGTGGATTCCACTCTTCGGTCGTCCATTTTTGTTTTTTTTTTTTCTTTTTTTTCTTCCAATTTTCGTTCCTATATAGCCAAAAGTTCGATTTAAATATCGATCGAGTTTCGTCCCCTAGTCGACCGCAGTCCAACAGCTATTCGAATATTGCTATTTTTGCTAAACAGCTTCGGACAAGCTAATGAACGATTTGTTCAATTCAATACAGAGGATCAGTACACGACGCCTCTATGCTTGCCGTCAGACAATCTCCAACAAAAAATCAACAGCTGCACTCGGCGATCAGGAAAATCCGACATGTAGCAAAAGCAGCAAAATTATGTACGGTAGAGAAAATTCTAAGCGATACAACCAGTCTACTATCGATATCAGTGGCTACTTTTATTATAATTTCTCACTATAAAAGATCTTACTCGAAGAAGACTAGTATCAGTGCGTTACAGTACAGATATATGACCAATAATTTAAAATTTCGTACACAACATAGATGCGTAACAAGCCGACCCTTTCCTTAGCCGAGTATACAATTATCACTGCTTGCTTGGCTCCATTTTATATTCCGATCTACATTTTATAGCAATACTTATTTTTCACTGCATTGCTTTTCCTGCCTGAGTGAAAATAAAATTTTCAATTCTTTCGCATATGCTGCCGATTCGTTGATGTTCCTAGCTCTTCACTTGACTCTGTCAACTGGCTCTATAGTTGTATCGTATCTTCGTCAGTTTCCATCCTCTTTGTCGTGGCTTTTCCTCAGTAGTTCCGCTATAGCTCGTCGCCATCTTTCCCGGAGCCATTAAAGCCAAACTTATGAGTTTTTTAAGGGCTAAACAACCAACTGAATTTTTGTGTTAAAAAACAAAAGTCACCACACAAAGTTAAAAACACCAACAGCAATAACTGCCGTTGCAACAGCAGGTAGCAGCGGACAAGACCACTAATCAGTCTACTAATACTAACGGGCATCGAGAACGTCCTTAAGAAAACCACATTCACCGGCACTGTTTCTCTTCCATCGCACTCTCAAGCTGCTGTCCCACGTTGCTACTTCATTTAGTGTCTATCGCTCATATATAATATTTCTATGTACAACTCACTAGCTATCCGTACATGGTCTCTGTCAAAATCGGCCTGTCGGTACATCAGAGGCGTCACTTCGTACGCCGGTGACATGCGAGATGCGTCAGATTTTACCGTTGGTGTCGCCGTAGCGACAGCGGAGGCTGCTGGCAAGCTAATAGAAAGCCATGTCTGTGTGCAAACGCTGAAGGGAGTCCAGAAAGCGACAAAGCAATACTTAAAACAAAAAATAAATCCCTTCTAGAAAATGCTACGTTTTCCTTTCCAAGCTACCGTATATGAGTATTATACTGGCAGAGAGTAGAGCAGGTAGCAAAAGCCGACAAGAGCGTTGCCTCTCGCATGCCCACCGTAGCTAGAGGACAGCGGAGAGGGAAAGAATGAGCTGTCTTGGGCCTTCCCAGCCCGGGTCTCACACCGGAAGTCAAGCCATATCACATTTTTCTTGGTGTCGGTAACGCCTTTAGTAGCGACGAGTGCTTTTGCCGTTGGAGCAGACGCCTGCTCCGGAAGCTTGAAGAAACGTACTCCGTTCGGTGCATCGAGCATCAACCGGTCCCCAAAGCGACTCGCAGGCGTGTGCAACGAGTACAGCCACCCCACAGCATTGCGCAATTTCATACGGAAACACCGCTCACGCGTACATTCACTTCTAACTCTAACGGACGGTCGTTAGCTCCGCATTCGTTCCTCCTTTTTGCCTAGGTAAAATATAATTTTATCCAAAATGTACCGCCGACGCAGAGCTGCTACCGTGAACGGCCTGGTACAAAAAGCGGACTTATGTGAAGCAACTGGACGATGCGTGTGAATGCAGTCAGAAATGGTTGTGCTAAAGATACGTGAACTAGGCCCGTATTTGCTATACCGCACATGAGATTCTTATATATTTAGATGCTGATTAAAACAAGCAAGTATAGCGATGAACATTTACATAGAGATAAAAAAGCGATCAATAGTCGAAAGATAAATCGTAAAGGGACGGATCACGCGGACATAAATTCCGTAAAACTCAAGCACTAATTAGGAAATAAAATTATGATCCCTATTATGGCTGTGGTACATTTTTGCCACCCTTCATTTGTTTGGCCGTAAAAACGTATACGCGATAGTTTTTGGAAGTAGGTGCAGTCTCTCAAAAGTACAGGAGGTAACTAGCAAAAATTCCTTTCTAAAACAGTATTAGGAAATCAGTAGTCTAGAAAAACAATAAATCGTTCTTATTTTAATGCTTTCGTAGAGACGAAAAATGAGCTCCGCAATGTCACTTGATATCAGGAATTTCTTTCTGGTGCTTTATTTGTAATCCCCTGATTTTGTCTCACCGCAGGCTCCATTCTGCAAATAAGTCTTTATAATAACGGCCAGGTTATCTGCCTTCAAAGGAAACCCATGCATAAAGCTGCGCGTATGTGAAACACCCTCAGCCTGACTAAACAGGCCATCTCTACAGTTTGTGGATAGCAGATACATCAAGCGAAAGCGAGCAAATAAAGACAGACTCCAATGGGCCTTTGGACACTACGTATATATATATTATTTGTCTTTCTCTACAGTTTCCTGTGTTACCCGGATGACTTTACACAAATCACAAAAAGAGCCCTACAATTTTTCTAGCAACAGGGTGATAAATATGTAGAATAGGTTGATGAAAATCTTCGAACGATTTCTTCTTCCTCCAAGATAAAGGGAAGAAGTCCAGTCGACGAGTTAGGTCGGTCTCGTCTTTGCAGTAACATTTCAGGGTGGCACTATGATGATATGAGACCTCATTCCACTATATGATCGAGTCCCTTAAAGAGGGGTACCTACCTTTATAAGAAGGCCTTTTCCGCCCTGAAGCCAGTGCTCCTGGGACGAAGTGGTCGGTGCAAATGGCCCATAACTACAAGGGGATGTAGTAACCGCTGACGTTTGTCGGCCGCCTGGCGGTGAACAGGGCGGCAATCCAGTCGGCGAACACAACTCCAGATCGACGCCGTCTCCAATGTTCGTATGCCATTTTGTATAACCCTTGACGAACTCCATACCGCTCCCCATGTTAAAATCATCAAAATCAGCTTGTGTTGTTGATTCATTTGCTCATTTCGGCGCTTTTCCCTCACGGTTGACGACCTCAGACTCTCAGCATGGCTCGCTCCACTTCGACTATATGATGCCCCTATCTGCAACGGCTATCGCGAGGGCGCTTGCGTCAGAATCGAGTGATTATAGCAAGATTAGTTCGGCAATAGTAAAGTACATGTTTGCATTGTTTGTAAATTTTATCGTACGGCGAAAGAAACGTGTCAGAAAATAGAGTGATCCGAAACGTTTTTGTATTTACACTTTCGTATAGTAAATGCATTGATCTAGTTTTGCCTCTGCTGCACACTAACTAATCATCGCGGCTATTTTTTAGGCTTGACATCTCATAGCGTCGACACAATCTAGTTTCCCTTAATCTTAAATACAGAACAGAATCTCGTTTAGGGTAAATAAATCGTTTTGTAATGACTAAGTAGGTGGCCCCATGCTACTTAGCTAACTGTTTGTTAATACGAATTGTGTGATATGAATATTTTTTGATGCTACGGAAATACAGAGCGATCGACAAGGCGATAAGTAGGTAGAACTTTGTAGTTATGTTGATCTATTAGATATATCGTACTGAACACACCGAAGGGAACACTTTGGCTCATCCGCATAGTGCATCCTTTTTATCAACTAATCATATCCTGTGAGCTGTCTTGTAGGAGAAATGTATTTGCAAAACCGTAGCAGACGGGCAGGCATCCTTGGTCTAGCTGATAGACATCGCTGGTTAGAGAAACGTTAGCGACGGTATGTAATTGTCAAATTTCTGCGACGTAAACGACGTTTAATGTGAAGGCAACACTAACGAAGTATAGGGTTGTTCTGTTCGTCGCTGGTGCAATTAACTTTTTTGTGACTAGAGAACCTATGCTCCCTAAATACGTTCACAGTACTCCATTTTAAGCGAAGAAAAGATCGCAGAATTAGCGCTAGTGGTAGTTCAGTGGGGGAGTTAGTAGCGAATGAACGGACAGCAAAAAGGGAAGAATAGCGACATTTCCATCTCATATGGGATCAAACGCGCCTAACTTCGAACTGAAAACTTATTTTTCCCCAAATGTTGTTGGCTTTATGGTGGGGTGGAGCAACCGTTAATAGCGGTCGTCGAATTCACATCTAACCCGAATTTCCAAACGTTAGACAATTGAATGTCAGATTTTTCGATGTAGCAACAGTTCGGAACTAAAAAACTTAGATGCTGTTTTTGATCAACATTTCAGGAAGTTCCTGTTTACACTGAAAGTGTTCCTCTCGTATTATGCTACAAAAGGAGCAGAAGGATTCTGCTCAGAGGGATTTATGCCAACGTCTGCCCGGCAAGCATCGACTGACGCTTCAGGGAAGATCTTGAAGGTGCATTGTTAATCTCTGAACAAAGACGGTAGTGTCCAACGATTGGTATCGAATTTTTTTTTATCCTGGAGACAAACTTTGACAAAATGCGCAGCAAATAAGATAGCTGAATTATTAAAAAACCGCAAAACTCGCTGTGATTTGCTTAGTTAGGCTAAGCTAACTTAGTCCCCTTATCAATGAGACTTCGTTCACCATTCATACCTTTTCATTCATTCAAATGATACCGCCACCTTAAGTTAGGTAGCAGTTGAAACGTCCATCGGCTGGGTCGAAAGGGTCGTTCAAAATTGTACAAAACAACCATCTACTCATCTAAATTGGGTTTTTCAACTTGAAAAGGGACCTCATTTGAAAGAAGAACGCTGGGTAATAAACAATCTGCTAGATGTACGCGTTCGCTCGAGATGCAAACTATATTATCTTTATTCTGCGGGCATTTTTATTTCGCAAACTCCAACATTGCTCTTTACGTGTTTTCCAAACGCCATTGCGTTCAACGTCTCCTGTATTGGTAGACTCCTTGAACTTATATTGGTTTGTATCCTGTGTTTAATAGAGTATAATGATCAGTAAAGAATGTCGGACCCTAGATTCGGCAGAAGTTTCGGACGCTCCCTATGCACCAGTAACCAGTGTCGCTACGGTATTAGTTAAAACCAACCTTTAATAAATAAGTGAGCCACTCAAATTTTTCATTACGAACTTTCCACAATAAGAACGATTTGAGAAATCGATATTAGGTACACTACGGAAACAGCTCACCTACTAATCATCATCAGGCATATAAAAAAAAGCGTACGCCGCAAATAGATGTTCGAAGTCGTCCTACTTAGCGATGCAGGCGGTAGCAAATCTGCCGAGGAAAGCTTTTCCTGAGTATTTTCCCTGTTTTCCTCCCCGTCCTATAACTAGCAAAGTTATAGCCAAAAATTTGGCGAAGTCAGTCATATTTGGCACAGTGGCTCCTCAGAAAAGAAGAAACCCATAGGGAACTTTTAGCAGATAAAAGTCGATTACGATTATCCATAGCTTCGTCTGGTCACCCTTTCGATGTTCTGTTCTTGTGTTTGGACTTACGTCCTATAACCTCCGATGTGCCTAACTGCTACTTAAAACAGTGGCAGGTGGCAACGGAACAGAAACGCTTTTACTATTGTAAAATGACAAAATGAAATGCGACATTTAGAGCTTCTACAAGATCCAGCCAAGAGAAAGTGCCCGCTTCTGGAATAGAGCATCTAGGAGATAAGAATTTGCAAGATTTTCATGGCTTTCTTTACTTGCGACATTTACAAGGCTTTGAAATGTTTGCACACACACGCAAGGTTTTATGATTGCTCTACATGCATTTCTACATATCTAATATGTTTGGTTCATGGGGTCGTTATGTTTCTTGTCTTTTGCAGCCCATACGTTTGGCTTTTGTAAAACTGGGCCTGGCTTAGGGGGCGGGCCATCAGAGCGCGGATAAGTTAAATAATGCTTCAGCTATTTTGCTTAAATGATAGTTAACAGTGTGTGTGGCCATTGGCCCGTCGCCATTATACCATAGATCGCAAACTATGTTATTGAATTAATTATTATTAACAAAAAAAGTGAGTGTATGTGCTGCAAACCAAGGTGCAGTTTATCTAAAAACATTATGGCGATTAGAGTCTTAGTCCAGCGAATGGCTATTCTGTGTATAAAACACTCGTATACGGAAAGGGCACTCGTTAGTTTACAGCTAAGCTTACTAAGATAGACGTAGGGCAAACACTTCTTTATAAATAAAAGACACGGGTAACGGTTATTAAAATGCATTTCTAAATCTAAAACTTTTATTTGATCCCTTTCTTAAACGTGGGTAAGCCTGAAGTTGCTTTGTTTTCGAACCTAAACTTGAGCACGCTTGTGGGGAAACTTATGTCACCATTCATTCACTTGATTGGACTGCGAAGCAGGCGTTGCAAGGAGCGCCTAAGGTAGTATCCTTTTGTCTGTGACCTTGTGTAGGGGTTTAACGGAGCATTTCAGATAATTTTGTAAAACGCCTAAGGCCTTTCTTTCCTAAAGCAATCGGGGACAGTAACACTCAAAAAAAGCGCGTTATACGGGGGAGAAAAGGCTATCAGATAACGCCGTTTCACAGGAAATCATCACACCACCCTAATCCTTACATAACTTCGGTGCTCTTCGCGACTCGTGATTTTTCTGTCACCATCCTTGTGCCTGTTTACCGACTCTCAACGGATCTCCCAGAAGCTGCGCTGGCGGTAGTAGAAGCAGTGGTGAAATAAATGGATCGATGCTATCGCAGTGCTATCGTTTTAGTTCGGGAATACCATCCGAAGCAACATCCACGAAGCCAGTGCGGATAAGCGGCAAGACTTTGTCTTCAGCGAAGGGGAAGGCTGGCGCTCCGTTGGCTGCCGCCACTCACGCCCGTTTGTCCCTAGCACTCTCAGTTTCCCCTGGAAACGTAGGGGGCCGGGTGTCTCGGTGGTGTGCAACTGGCAGATTGGTCACATCTTGAAATGGCATCAGTACCCCGTGGCGGCAGCGAACGCAACGCTTACAAAAGACGTAAAATATTTACTGGTAGTCGAGAAGGAAAAAAACGCGTTTTCTTTTGTTCTTTGCGAGCGAGCCTCTACTGCCGCGTTCATACGCGCATCGTTGGATAGAAAAATGGGGCGCGTCTTCGATATCCTGCGTGGTAGAAGACAACACTAAACAGCCTGGATAGCTCTTGTGAAGTAAACTGTGGTCGCTTCGATCGTTTCATGTCGCCGTTGATTACTGCGATATTCCATTAACAGCGCGACAGTAGCGATATTTAATTTGGCAATGTTTGTCGTCTAGTAGTTGTTGCCGGCAATTCAGATTTTCATATTTAGCGGTACCACATTGTTCTATATTTCGGTTGGAAGACGGCCACTCCTACAACCTCATAGGCTATTCTGCCCTAATTTGGGGACTATTCACACCCACACATACACACACACACACACACACACAGACATAGACACACATCAATATATATAGTGTATAAACGTACTATTTGCCTACAAACACACAATTATTTTCATTTGTCACTCGCTAACTGGCACAATGCACTATCCCTTAAAGCACCGTTTGCCACTCATAGGCCCAACTTCTAACCAAGCACTTTGCTTGATTTGTACTTTATTGAAACAAAATAAAGTGTACTCTGTAAGTTTCAGATCTGCTTCAATGATTATTAGACAGTAAAACGATTCACTATTATGGCTAATCGTCTCTATTTGTTTCGCAATTGTCAGATAGAGTCATCTCCAACTTGAGACAAAAAAAAGTTGGTATTTTCGAACTTGCTCAACCGGTAGATGAGTGCTACGTTCTACAGCAACTTTCCTGCTCACCATTAAAGTACTGGGCACTTCGAAGTCGCTTCGCTCGATCGACTTAATCGATGCTCTGTTGAGCCGGGTTTATCAGCTGTTACTTCCTGTTCAAACCAGTCCCTTCTGCCAACTGCGCCGCGTCATACAGTTACCACTGGCCTGCCATACCACACTCGTTGTTCTACGTTCACCAGCCTGCCACCATCAGCCGTGCCTAATCTCCTCACGGGGTCCTGCAGTAGGGAAAGGGTCTGTTCTCGGAGACCCTTTCCTACGACTGCTGGCAGAACTATTCTTTGTGGCCGGCCTGCCGCCGCCTGGCACTTCCCCACACAAACAAACGCCGACGCTGCTGCATTTCCTTCTACTCAGAGTCCGGAGAGTCAAATGATCCAACAGTGGAGTAGGCTACGGCGATCTGACGATTCGCTGCCTGACATTTTATTTCTCTGCTACTTACCGCAGAAGGGCAGAGCTGGGTAAGGCGAAACAGTAGACAGCTTGTTCTACTTGGCCCCTCGGCGTGTTGTGGTAGACCATCAACTATTGAAGCCATTACCTTTGCACGTACTCCTTGCAAGCAACTGAACGATAATAATAATAATAATAATAATAATCTGGTGAATTGCGCTAGAACTACCCACAGTGGCTCCTCGGACCACTCGGTAGTAATGCATTTCTACTAACTGGACGACAACTGACTAGTCCATTAAAATAGTACTAGTTACGCCGCTGTAAACGATAACAGTGACAACATTTTGATTTACGTTGTTCGTATTTGATTGTGGTCTATCCTTATACGTTGGCTGTACTTCTACACTGGCCGTGCATAGTCATGACCAAGAGCATACGTTTAGCACTAACAGCCCACAGCTACGCAATGGTCGACGGAAGTTGTTGGCACACGTAGACTAATGCCCTTAGAAACGTTTGGTTTCTAGGGATTTTTCGAGGGGCAACACTTTATCAACTTCATGCAGGCGCAACGTCGCCGAGGCCTTGAATGGTGTTTGTTACACGTGTCGCTGTGCAGCGATATTCCAACATCAAGTAACTTAGAGACTCTGTTGATGAGTAAGATTTTACGAAATTCTACCATTGACACCATGTGACCACAATATCGTAGACTACATCAGTGTATCTTATTGCAATAACGGATAGCCGAGCCAAGTAAACTTTGCGTTTGGCAAAGGTTCTCTATGTGTAGCCTATATTGTAAGCATGTAGCCATGTCTACAACTACTACTTATTCACGGCATCGTACAGCACGACCGCGTACCGTGTACTATAGTAACTATAGACAGTTTTGAACGTGAAACATTTCACATTTATGCATGCATGTGAACGTATGTGTACCTATGACCGAGTCTACTGACGACCTATTGCTATCACCGAAACGGTTGCAATCACCGTGCGGTTCGGAAAAAAAAACCCAGCCAACAAAGGGAATCTGGAATAGAGGTTAAATGGTGCGTCGGTATAGTGCCTGCCTGTAATGTTTCCCTTTATCGTTCATTTCTCTATCACAAATACATATAGAAGCTGAAAGCATTGCGTTTTTTTACTCCTGTCTTTGCTAGCAGCTCTCTAAAAGATCTTATGTAATAGATCGGCAAGCTTCTATTCCCAGGGGCACAATTCCGTCATCCTATAACATCAACCCGTCGTCCACCCAGAAAGGCCGTCCTTTGGTCCTGCTTGTCGACTGCCTGGTGGCCCGTTCTGCCGCAAGATCGGCCGAAGAAGCCATCACGCCGCCTGCTCTAGTAACTGCTCAATTTCTCCGCGCAGTCTTCTCCACAAAACTCAGAGTTCTTTTCGTCTCTGGACGCAGCGACTACCACCGGCCAGCGGGAGTGAACGGGACGTAACGGGTGGCGAGCGATCCCATAATGCGGAGTGCACCCAGTGGGCAATCCCGCTTCCAATGATGCTGTTATTCCCCCATCGGCACCTTTTACAGTGGCCTCTCTACGTACATTACCCCCAACATTCAGCATCCTCGCGGTGTCTGCCGTTTCAGCAAGCCACCTTACGAAGTCTCCCGTTGGGGCGGCCAAGTAGCGTCCAGGGAGCCTCCCGCTTCACCACCCCGATGGCAGAAATAGTCCGGAACTCTTTTATAGCGCAACGGAGTGTATGTACCTGCAAACACTGCTTCGTTACTACGCATCGACGTTGTAGAAAGACAAGAAGCTACAGGAGTAACGTATCCTCTGTCCGAGTTACAGGTGTCGACATGATTACGACAGGAGCTCGTACGTGCATTGAAAAATAGCAGCAGCTCCGAATAGCAGGGACGTTTAATAGTGATAGAACAAATAAGCCTGCGTTACAGAAAAATGTACACACATTGCTTCCTGCCTTGATATTATTTCTAGATTACTTTAAGGCAAGTGGTGCTAAGTAATACATCATCGATCGGGCCTGATTTTAGTTAGGCCCAATATGTCCATGCCACTTGTATTGTCAATATTAGGTTTTATAGCCTTTGTATGCTCTCAAAACCGCCAAGAGAGCAAGCATGCATAAAACTGATACAAAGACGATGAGAGTTGCTGAGGACTAAGGGACTGGAAATTTGAAATAATATTTATTTTTATTTATTGTCCATAATTTTGCTCAGCGCACCGCTCTACTCTGGCGTGGAACAATCGTCATGGGTTTAAATGATTCCTGCACGATTATAAACGTATGGCTACAACTATGCCTAAGAGTGAAACGTTGACATAGTAAAGTTAGGTTATATACGAATTTTAGTAACAATTTAATAACAAGTCGCTCAGAAAAATCTTTTCTATTCTAAAACTAAAGACAATATTGTACACGCCACCTTCAGCTAACTTCCGTTAAGCGTATACATCTGTAGATGATCGTACCGAAGAGTTCAATGCGACCAATTTATATACAGATTTCAAATCCAGAAGCATGTTTTACATTATTTTTGATCCAATTTCAACGATACAAACGGATGGACAGTTATGATGTCTGTTTTCTAAAACGATCGTCTTCATTCGTCTCTCAGTTAGTCATCGATCAACTTATTATAAGTAATTGCTTTTGGTTCTTCCAGTCGTCCATAGGATTCAGTCGAGACGAGTAAATTCAATGAGGTAAAGAAGAAAGAGATTAAAGTAAGTTGAGAGAGGTAAAGAAATTGCAAACCGTGAAGCAAAAAAATATTCCAACAGTTCTACCTGGAAGGATTTACCCAATTGGATCACGTTGAAACAATATGTTCATTAATCGACGAGAAGCTTGATTGGATTACTATAGTCGGTCATCTGGCCTGCAGAATAAGCACGGCTAAGGAGGCAATAGCCAACGAGGCAGATCATCTGTCCCTCCAGAGCTGAAGCTCTAACATGCAGTGCTAAACGCCATTGTTACGTCACGAGCAAACAACAACGGTGAATTGTTTTCGTTTCTCTATATCTATCTCTTTCTTCAGGTAAGCTTCAACTGGCACAGCAGGAAACGTGCGCACGCAACGGAAAACACTATCGTCGCTGTCACAGTATGGTTACCTATCGCTTTTTCGCTGACCGATTTTGTCTAGCACGGGTTATAACGGGTAAAGGCTGACTGGTTAAACGGGCAAAAGGATTGCGGATAGGGGTCATGAACAGTGGGGGGTCTGAATCTACTCCGAAAAGCAGAGTGCGCCTGGCAGCGACTTTCTTTCGGCGGAAGGCGATTTTCTCCCACGCAACAACGATTTATCAAGAAACGACGTCCTACCAGGACCCAGTTCGGCAGGCCAAGATGAAAGCCTCTTCAGTTAGAGCGGAGGACTACCAAAGGAAAACTGACCACATTCGTGTTACGCTCCATACGATATTTTGGGACATTCGCAATAAACCTTCTTTCCCTCAGCCTCTCCGTCCTTTCCATTTACGTGATGATCAACATTGATCATTTACGTGGTGCTGTTGGGATAAAGTTTTGTATGTATGTGTGCACGTGTGGGTGTGTTTGTTTTTTTAGGATGCAAGGTGTGTGGTCGATGCTCACTTCTAGGGACTTTGAATTACCATTTTTTTTTCGGCCAACTCTCATATAGACAGTGGTCGACATTGGCCTGCTGAGGATATCCTCAAAGCCTCCGGCAAAGAATTCAGTTGTCAAGGCCAGAAAAACCGCGTACCGAGTAAACCGCCAAGTTGAAGAGCCGAGCCAGGGAAACGAGTTCAATAGGACAAACGTAACAATGGCATCAGAACAAAGGGCATGAAGACAACAATCTACAATATGCCACAAGGACCCATTTTTCAGCTTTCACGGTACTCAACGTCCACAGAAAACAGTGTTTTTCTTCGCAGAACACTTTGGTATAGAGTAAGAGTCTAGTTAAATGTTTCCATCTTCGAACCCGTAAATCTAAAGCTATTGTAACGTTTATATGTGCCATCAATTTTCCCTTAACCATTTGGACTAGGTCTACGAAAGCTGGCACAATCAACCCACCAACTAACTATATATGGCAGCACAATCTGTCAAAAAGGTTACCATTTGCTATTGCAAATCGTGCGCGATAAATACGTTTGGCCATAGGTAGATACATTATCATCCCTCAATCGTTATTGTGATGTTTCTATATGTGCTGAAGAGTATGTAATTAAGTATATATGGTTCTAACAAGAAGCAGCTAGACAACATGTTCCGATGCTGAAATCTCTAATTAAAGGGTACGTTAATAGTACTTCGAGCTGCCTCGTCTTTCCATATGTGACGCTTTTGTGACCGATAAGATCTATAATGTAATTGGTAATACCAATCCTTCCAATGATGCAGTGGGCGGGATTATCGTAAAACCTTCCTGAAGGCATTATCTCCTATCAAAATTCTACGAGAGAGCTAGCTCGTTTGCTGTACTCGAGATTTTCAAGCTCAATTTTGAACTTTTCAGGATATCCCGTTATGTTTTATAGTTGAATTCAATACATCTGTTATGCAGTTTCGGTATAATCATAATATTTACGTGTATGCCTAACATCTACTACTAATTTTTTCACTTTAGATTGATAAATCGCCTTACGCTGATTGCACGAGCCATTGTCACTGAAAGTTTAAACAAACGAAGATATTAGTCCACAGTAGACGCCTCGGTATTCTAGTATCTCTTGTG